TATGACGTTTAATTATATAATTTTTAATCAGACCAGCTTCACAAAAACTGACAGCGCTGGGATCAAAGTTCGAGCAAGTTTTGGAGTATTAAACAGGCTTGCTGGCATTAGCTTAAGTATGGTTGCAGATTGCTCGTTTAAAATACTTGATACTTTTAATAAGTGAATGCTTTATACGTGTCAAACTACCGCGACTCATTTCAGTTTAAACTTTCCAGCTCTATATAGGACTCAAGTATAACCACTTAATACTTGATGCAGTACCAGTCCAAAAAACGTAGTTTATCTTAAATCAATTATGGTGCAGACGGAAAAATTGGGGCTTCGTCCTGATATACAAGCAGTCTTCTCAAAAAACTTACGAATGATTTTGAATGGATCACATTGCCTTTCCTTCCAATAAAAAAAATTTTCATGGATCAAAATTGATATTAACAAAGAGTGAAGAAGGAGGCCAGCGAAGTGATTCTTTCACTTCAAGGACTTATTATAAAGAAAGAGCTTTCAAAGACAAACCTACTACAACCTAATAAAAAGTTTCGGAATTAATTGAAAAATTTCATGTATGTGACAAGCCGGAAATGAGCTTGTTCACGTTTTGGCGTAGTTTGTCCAAAATTTTTTTCCCAATATACCAAAAAGCTAATTGCAGATAAAATTTCAAACAGGTAAAAGTAGCAAAGAATGATCCTACCACATTCAATAACACAAAAAAAAATATAGATTTTTTTGTATTTATTTTCCTTTTGATGGTAGTACTATAACAACTATAAAAACAGAGAGAGAGAACTAAAAAAAACAAATAGAAAAATAATGATTCAGACATAATAGTCAACACTGTTTCTAACACTTCTTTTTCACTAAGCTTTTTAAATGTTGAATGTTTTTTATGGGCAAAGAAATAATAAATGAATATTCCAAAACTAGTTTTTAGTTATTTAAGTTTTAGCCTGAATGACCATGCTTCTTTTTTAAATAACATTACGTGATCGCTGTACTCGCTCGGAGTTAGACTGTTTTTGAACAGTTTTAAAAAACGCTTGAATCAAGACTGGAGGAGCTACGATGAACTACAAAACCCGAAAAATTAACTACAATACCCGAAAACAAAATTCTTTCCACTTTCAAGGGTTGGAACAATAAGACAAGACTTTTTCAATGGCTGAAAAATATAATGAGAAGAAACGTCAGACGTTCTTTCTGTTCAATTGAACCTAAAAATTATTGTAGTTTGAGAATGCTTTGATTTATGCGCGTTTTTTCTGCAAATTTATGTGCAGAAAACTTGAGAAGACCAGAAATTTAACTAAAAAAGCATCAACTTCTGTGGACAAAAAAGTTATTCCATATAAATTTTCGATACAGAACCTAAAATAGTTTGTAATTTTTATTTGAATATGAAACTTGGCAACTATTAAAACTTGTTGAAAAAATTTTAGTCCTCTGATCCAACTTTTTTTTTGGCGAACGTAAAACTTTGCTAATCTAATCTGGAGTTTAAAGAAAACAGGCTTTTTGATAAAAGTTTACAAATCAACAAGCAAGATAAAGTCGAAACAAGCTGGTTTCTAAACAATATTAGGATGATTAAGTAAAAATTTAACAGTGAGAGTTATTTTTACATAAATAATTCAAGCCACCCAAAAAACTGATTAACTTGTACTTGTTCAAAGAAATGATTAAATTTTAATAAATCTCAGTTTTTTACTTTGACTTCATTTTGTGCTTTGTCAGATTTTTAGGCAAGCAATTCCGTTTCTTAGAACATATTTTAGCAACCGAAAACACCGATGAGTAACTTGCAAAAACCTATTCAAAATTTTTTCTATCTACTTCTTATCGACATTTTTGTTTTGAAAAACAAAAACAAAGTTTTTACTAGTCTTATTCGCTAAAAGTATTTATAATTTTAGTGAACAGATCAAAATTTATCAGCAAATCAAAATTTGTGATAAATATTTCTGCAGGAAGTCTGTTGCTTTTCAAAAGCGGATCACGACATCTCTCATTTTTCCCATGAAGCAATCTGCTACACTCGTATATATATTTGGCGACTAAAACTATTGACGTTTTTGTGTTCTAATCTTATGAAAAATATTTACGATAAAAAATTTGAGTTAAAATTCTGAGTTTTGAATGATTCTGAATTTTTTGTCTAATCAAATTGTTTGTATTTACACTGCCTGTGTGTATTCATAAGTTCATTTGAAAAATACAGCAAATGTTAGAGTATCTTCTATGTTAGTTATCAAAACAAACAAAGCTTTTTCCGCAAAAAGTAGAGATGTATCATCCGCAAATCAAACCGCTTGAACATGTTTTGCCACTTTAGTCCTAAAATCGTTAAAATTTAATATCCAAACTATCGGACCAAGCACTGTACTTTCTGGTAGCCCGTGATTTGCCGTAGCCCAGCAAGTTTTTGTGTCACCAGTGTTTCCGATTCGATACAAAACTTGGAAATAGTTGACGAGCTTGAGTTGAAAATCCGTTTGAAGTTAATTTTTCGACAAAAATTTTATGTGAGACAGGAATGAGTGATTTAGCAAGGTCAAAAACAACAGCTAAGGTATAAAATTTTGCTTTAAAACTCGATACTATTTCTTTATTTAAAAATTTAATCGCGTAATTGACCACCTATTTTCTTGACAGCTAATTGGAAGCCAATTTTTAGTTTTTCTAGTTTAATTTAAGAAAGAAACAGAACTTTTTTTAAACCAGTTTTTGATAAAAGCTCTTGTTTCATATAATTAATGTAGGAGCAATAGGTTGTATTATTATAGGACAACTAAAAACAGCAACTTTGAAACTAATTTTTTCTTAGCTTGTTTGCTCAATTTTTTTTCTGGTAATTTTTTCTTCTAAATTGTCCTGTTTTGTTCACTCCATTAAAAAATATTTAAATGTTGTGAACTTCGAACCGATGCGAAGATCGTGACAAAAAGACTAGTAGAGGCAGGAAAAACGCACCAACATCAGATCTTTATGTTTGTTAAAGGACAGGTTTTAGTGACAGCCCACGGCGCAGACGATTGCTGCTCAAAACAAATGATTGCTGCTCAAAATGTGTAAATTTGAAACTATAATCGAAACATTGAAATATTTTTGTTTGGTTTTCTGAAATTGACAAATTTTGAAAACACTCGGTAGTTCAATATTTGAAAATTTACCCCAGATTTACAACAGTTGTTGCAACTCACGAGGTATCTAAAAACAATTGCACGGTTATCTAAAATGCTTTAACAGTAACGAGCTATGTATCTGGACACATCGCAATACGGTCGCGATTGTCTGCAATTCAAACGCGATAGTCTGGAAACTTCGAACTTCAAATATGATTTACACTTTTTCCCAAAAACAAAATTACATAACTGATGGAAATTTTCGTATTTTTATCTCACTAATATACCCCATGGCACCGGTTGGAAAACTTTTACACTGTCGCACCACTGGTGGAAATTTTTGTTTCTGCGTGTCAGCGGCGACCCTGCTTTAGGAAATCGCGACCAATTTCCTAGGCCGCGATAGTCTGGAAACTGGCGTTTTGATCAATCGTTCAAGAAATGAAGAAGCTTGACCGCAATACTATGGACATAAAAACACAACATTGAACCGGGCTCTTTAGTTGTCATCACTCATTATTACAGAAACAAAAGACTGCAAACAGAAAAAAAAATTCAATTGATTCAGTAATTGTTGAACCTCCTGATTACCGCTCTAGTTTTTCAATGCAAAAATAGCTTTTTTTTAGGAAAAAATCATATAACACAAACACGAATGAGCCGGATAAAATCACCGCTCACAAGTTAATAGAACGATAGATTGCGCATTAATTGCCCCAACTTAGCTAAACCGGCAATTTCATAGCCTAAGAAAAAATAATCACAGCTGCAATATCCTTTCAAATTTAAGCACAAACCGTCAATACTTTTCGCATGGTAACTTAAAAAAAAATCATTTAAAACTGGCTAAAACCGAAATTTGTCTGAAAACAAAAGACAAATATTTCATCTTTTCTTCTTAAATTAGAGTCACAACGTATTTCAATTAGGGGCATTCTTGTTACACCCAATTAAGCGTGGAAAAAAACACACCCTAGCACAACACACCCTAGTTATCCTGGAGGGTAGCTACTTGTTAGGTTGAAAAGCCTGTTCTAGCTATCCTGATGCAGTGAGTGATTACGTATGTATTTCTTCACTGTATCGAATAATTGAATTGAATTGAATTGAAAATTCTTCGTAAATAACAGTGCTTTGAAGAAAAACGAATTAAAAACGCTTGGTAACAATTAGTTTTCTAAAGCATAAGAAATAACTGTTTGAATTGTAAAATGGATAAAAAGTTGAATGTAGAAATAAATAATCATCGCTAAATTATCCTCTTCTAGCTAAATTTGCCTGATTACCTAAAATCTTAGTTTTTCTCGATTCTGAATTATTTTTTTTGAAGTTTTTCACTAGCTTTATGACGCAGTCAGAAAAATAAAATCTCCAGCAACTGCTAAAATTGTTCTGTAAATTGTTCTTTTAACACATGAGTTTTATCTGTTGCTCCTGTTCTAACTTCTTCTAGTCTGGATTAGGGTTTCTCATCATTTTCGAACGAATATTTGCTAAATCATATGCATGATTAATGGTCAAAAATAGCAATCGCTAAAAATTGTGTTAATTTTTTTAAAAACTCCAATTAGATTTTTAGTTCCAAAAAAGCTTTTTCTTTGTAAAATGTGATAAAATCATCTGGTCTTTTGAAAGTTGAATGTTTTCAATGTTAGTTACCGATGGCTTCTAATTATATTCTGTTGTCATATCCAAAACTTTCTTGTTCAACTCTACGGAGCGTCTAGAATACAATGATATTAGAATACAAATCTCATATTTTACTTTTTATATCCATAATAACTTTGGTGTGATATTTCGAATTCCAAAAAACATTCGGCACTCCAAAAAATCTTTAAAAAATTTTCTCTGAAAACTGAATGTTTCCTTTCATTTCAGTCGACTGCAACAATCAGGCATCAACCAGCACCACGACGACCGACGTTGTGGTATCTCAGTCCAATGTCCTAAGAATGGTCAAGTCAACTTCCCTCCGAAGCATCTCTGGTCGCCTGAACAACAACTGTGGCAACGCAACAGCCCGAGACGCTTCGCAACAAAGCTCGAAGACGACACGACTGTGCATCTACATCTGTGTCATTTACATATCCCTCACAATGCCCAACATCACTACACAGGTAATATATTCTTTTTTATTACGTTTCTTTTTCCCTCAGGGATTCGAACTACATAATAATCGTAATCATAATAATCATAATAATAATCATCATAATCATAATAATACCAATCATGGTAACCATAACAATCATAATAATCATATTAATTATAAAAATAATTATAATCATAACCATAATAGTCCTAATTATAATCATAATAATCTGAAAAATTATGAAAAGATCATCAAAATGATAATAGTCATAATCATAATAATTACAATAATCATCAATATAATCATAATAATACCCATCATGGTAAACATAACAACCATAATAATCATAATAACATTAACCGCAATTATAAAAATCATAATACAAATTATGATAATCAGAAAAATTATGAAAGTAATCATAATAATCAAAATAATAATCATCAAAAAATAATCAAAACAGCCATATTATTCCTACTAATCATAATGATAATAATCATAATCATTATCATAATACAGTGCTGATTTAAATTATCCTGACAAAACGAACAAAACTTGAATTTTCAAACACGTTTTTCTCAAATTGATTTAAGATTAGACAAAAAGTGAAGAGATGGGTCATTTTGGCTTTTTTCCATTAAGCAAGATTTACGCTGGAACTATTTTGTTAATTGATAGAGAAAATACATCACATGAAGCCTCTAACACAGCCCAACAAAGTTTAAGGAGGGTTAAATCTCCAAAAACCTGTATAATAGAAAAAAATTACTTGATAGTCAATAAATGTGATTTTTAATATATAAAACCCAGAGTTTTGCTTAAAAACAAGTTTTAAACAATTTGTGCTAATTTATGGAGATTTAACCCCCTTCTTAAACTTTGTTGGGCTGTGTAAGAGGCTTCTTGTGATGTATTTTTCTTTATCAATTAAAAAAATAGTTCCAACGTAAATATTGATTAATTGAAAAAAGCCAAAATGACCCATTTTTGGGATGAAAATTTGGTTGAGAATTTCGGAGAAAAAATTGCACCATATAATTCTAAGCAACTTTTGTTTTGTTCACTTTTTGTCTAATCTCAACCCATTTTGAGAAAAACGTGTTTGAAAATTCAAGTTTTGTTCAATTTGTCCGGTTAATTTAAATCAGCAATGTAGTCATAGTAATAATCATAATAATCATAATGATGATGAAAATAATCATAATAATGATAATAATCATGATACTCATAATAAATCACCATAATCATACTAATTATGATAACACTAATCATAATAATCTCAAAGTTATTCTCGAAAGTGTTAAGTATATTCATAATAGTAAATAATTATTATGACTATTTGGAGAAGATGTAAAACGTGTAGAAATCTGTCTGCGCATAAATTAAGTTTCAGGTTCTCAAAATATAAATCGTTTTGACTGCTCCCCAGGCTGCGGACAGCAGCGAGCCGTTGCCGAACGACAAGGACAACACTTCAGCTGCATAGCAAAAAAAATCGCAAAAAAATTGAAGCGAATCAACTTCAGTGCAAAAATCACAAAAAACTAATGAACGCATGTACCATACACGAGTATTTTTTCGACAAAATGCAACAAAATTAACAGGTGTTTTCCTCTATCCAGTAAGAAATGACAACTACAGCATTCACTAAAGCTGTTCCAAAAACTATTATACGGTCTAGTGAAAATTCGATTTCATGTTTGCAAATTGAGGCCAACTGATGCCACAATTTTACAAGAATAGCCGGTTATTGTGCAACCGACCATATTAAAAAAAACAACGAAATAAAAGTTCTTCAAATTATTAGGTTCTTCAAATTGGTATCGTTTTTCGTAGGTGTTCTGATGATAAAACTATGCACAAATTTTTTTCTATTATCTTTTGAAAAATATTAGAAAAACAAATTCGGTAAACGTTTTTTTCTACAAGAGAAGTGCAAAGTATAGCTTTCAAAACTAGTTTACGTTCGGAAAAATTGATTTTTTTAGCCTATATAACCAATTTAATCAAATACCATCATTTTATTTGGTCGATGGAAACTAGAGGAAAAAAAACAAAAATTTCAAACCGGTTTTTCTCGACATTCGAAGTTTTTTTTAGAAGTTTTTTAAATCGTTCCAATCACGACTAAAAGGGCTTCAGTAAAAAATATTACTCAACCCTGTTGCGATTTGATTTTATAGTTATGTTATTATGACCGTCGGTGTTCATTAGTACCGGTCAACATATTGCATGAATCGACCATCGGTGGATCATTAGTGGTGTTAAAAAATTGAATTAAGATAAGGATTAAAACGAATTGGGTTAACTTAAACTAAGACTAGTTTGACGAGATATGTTGAAATCTCCACTAACGCGAATAGTAGACTTTTACTTAAGACTAGATTAAAAGACTGGGTTAAATATAGGCTACGCTATGGTAATAAGACGGAATTAAAAGGTTTAATTAGGATCATTTGAGTTAACAAAATTGGTTGCCATAAGAAACATTTAATGACCAATATCAGCTATGCCATAAGTCGTTGCGCTTTTGGCAGGTGTTAACTAATTAACATACTCGAAAAAGCAACTTAAAGGTTAAAAGTCGCTAACACTAATATCTCTTTTGACATTCCCCGCGATAAACTAATTAATGATTACATATATTTTTCCCCTACAAATAGCATGTTAAGGCAAGGAGGTGAAATAACGGAACAACAAAAAGGGAAAATCCAAGGTTATCACCCAATGGGAGGAATATCTAGCACTGACCCTAAACTCGGTTTAAATCAATTGGCTAGTAGAACCCGATAATAAATTTAACAACCACTAGAGTTAAACTAGGTTAACGGTTAATCTGGATAAAGCATTACCGCAACCAATTAGCAGAATTTTTTTTTGGTATGTACGTTAGGATAATAATCCAAGGTTAGCGGCATGGGAGAAACAAAAGCAATTAACATAAAAGAGTTTAAGTTTTTCACTGAAATGGGAGTTCGTGATTGTGCAGAGTTTAATCGGCATCACGGTTTCAGGCTCAGTTAAGCTGTCCATTTCGTAAGCTCGTCGAGATTCAAAGGTCGGCCCAATAGTGCCTTTGCTGTAATGATGGAAGTAATATTAAACCAATTAGGATTGAACACACTTGGCGTCTCTATAGCATCTGCCGGTTCGGAGGGTAGGCCCGATGGGTGAAATTCGGTCTTGCGTACTTTCGGTTTGAATTGAATTCTCTTGGGGGAGCCGACTGGGGATAGCGATATAAATGGCTTTACATAGTCTGTTTGATTGGATTCACCTTCCATGAGGTAAACTATGGTCGGTTGTCGTGGAGAAGAAGTTGAGGGAGAAGTTAAATCGACGATATCTATCTGGTGGCTTTCTAGTTCTGTTGTGGTTGCTTCTATGGATGTAGTAGATAGTGGGGTTCTGCCTCGATTTGACTTGTGTTCTCCTGGTCTATTGTCCGAGGTTTTTTCGAGGCTAGTGAATACTCTCTCTCCGATTAACGTCGGTGGTTGTCTGGTCCGAATGGGTCTGGTGTTGTGGCGAGTATGAGTGTCTGAAATTTTTCTAGGAGGCAGTGATTTCATTGGCGAAGAAGCTTTCCGCTTAGTGATACCCGTTAATTTGGGTTTGAAAGGGCTCTTGGTAGGGGTTCGTTTCTTTGACTGGTTCTCTATGTCAGTCCTTGTGGCTTTGTAATCTGGTAAGTTATTGGGTTGTTTACCTCTGTTATTTGACTTGTATTGGTTGGTTCTGATTGGTTTTTGTAAACTTCATCGTGGCTGTCTAACTGAGTAAGTGGTGGGGTCGCGCGTTGGTCTGGATTACTGTCCCTTGAGTCTAGGTCAATCAGTGTATTGCAGACGTTTTTCTCCTTCTCTAGGTTGGTTTCGTCTTTTCTAAGCATTTCCTATTTGATTTTAGTTTAGTTTGTTCTTGCGCTGATTTCTCTTGTCGGTTTTCTGAATTACTAGAAACTAAGGAATTTAGATCTTTCCAGTAGGATCAAATCACTGGCATTGTCGTCAGATATCATTTCTGTAATAACAGGTGGGTTTGTAATAATTAGTTCAGGTATGTTGGTTCTTTGTGGACAGGTGAGTTGTCCCGGAGGGCTTGCCTCTTCTATAATTTCAAGACCAATAGGGTACCTTCAGCGCTATCTCTCCTCCTCTGCCTCTCTAAGCAGTGTTTCCGTTTCCCTCGAGCTGTAAATTACGGCGTTCGGTTCGATCTTGCAATATTCCATTTTTCAAATGTTTCCTCATTTTTTCCCGTTAATACCATTATTTTCCCATTTTTAAGCGTAATTGTATGATCCAATTCCCTTACTACTTCTTCTTTAAGTTCTCTATAATATGGTTTTTTCGTCTTTCTATCTTGTAAGGATAGAAGGATCTTACCCGACAGGTTACTCAAGAAGGGATATTCTACGCCTAGAGCTTTTGTTTTCTCTGCGCGAGAGAGTACTTTGACAGGGGAACCAGAACTATAGGTATAAGGATCTTACGCGACAAGTTACTCAAGACGGGATAGTCTACGCCTAGAGCTTTTCTTTGATCAGGTAACCAGAACTAGTGGGTAAACATCTAATTGCATTAGATATATCGTCCGATGATGATGATTCTTCGTCCATATTGTCCGTCTTAGATGTCATCAGGGGTATCCCAGTCATATCGTCTGTCCCGGCACATTTATTTTTGTCATTTGTCTATACATAACAATGTTTGTTCCAATCTAGGTTTCATCTACGATTTCTGCTTCAAAAGTAGAGCAGTTTAGCGATTGTTGTGTTAGTGTTCTTAAACATTTTATGATCTTTAATAATGCAGTTTTGGATTTTCTTGAGCCAGAACCATAAGTCGTTCTTTAATTGTTCTGATAAGTCGCTCGACCAGATCCGTAGCTCTATGGTCACCCACTGGACTGAATATAACGTTGATGTTTCGTTCTTGACAAAATTCTCGGACTTCCTTAGAAATAAACCCGACCCTTGGTCCGTCCTAATGGTTCTGGGTTTTCCCTGCAACGATATATATTTTCTAA